GACACCTGTCAGGTCCGCTCGGCGCGACCTGCCTCTCTTTCTTTTATCCCTCTCCTGCTCCCTTTTTGCGGGATCAACGCCTCAGCTGTGTCGCATCGGGTAATTAGTGACTCGTGGGTCGGTGCGCACACCTGAGGCGTATTCCGGTGATTTGTTGGCTTCCTTATTTATACCTCTGGCAGACGCCCCGTCGTCGCCGGAGCATTGTGACATGTAATGGACAATACTTACGCTATGTAAGTTACAAATGTTGTGTTTGACCCGCATATTTTTAGACGTGCGCAAGATGCTACGCTGACAGTCTCTGTGCGTTTTGGCTTGACCTTATCACGCTAATTATGCGGTTAGCAACACAGAAATACGTGCTTTGTCTTCCACGCTGACAGTCTCTGTGCTGTGGATTACATTGTTTACGTTGGTTCTTTTTGTTCACCTGTCCGTTCTCATCCTTTGCTATCCTAGTTCCTGTCTTTAGTTTGTGTGTTTACCGTCCTGGTCTCCTTAGTCATGTTTAGTCCTTAGCCTTGTTGTATGTATTATGGACCCTGTTTTGTTGTCATGTTGTTTTTATTCCATTAAACCACCTTTTTTGTACTGGCACCTGGGTCAGCCATCTTGAGTCCAACCCCAGTTCTCCCTCACCCTCCTGGTGAGGGGGACTAAATCATAACAACACCCTGGACTCAAAGAAAAACACTTAGAACATCATGAATAGATCAGAAAATTTGGTTTCAGGCTATCTTGTTTGCAGTCACAAATAACACTCCCCGACCAGTGAAGTAAAATGAACTCACTTCCTAAACTTCCTACCATACACAATGGCAACTGGCAGGGTGGACAACAAAGTACTCAATCCCAGCTCAGAAAATAGGTTCATAGACCCTGCTCACTGACCACCAGGTCCTCACAAGAAAAATGAACCAGAGACACCCTGAAAGGGATTTAGGATTATACTTTACTTTGTCTGTTCATTGTTAATAGCCAACTGCCAGTATACATCAAGTGCTAACAAACTGACCAATCAGCACAGGCAACTAGGAGACTGCAGGGATTTGTATGTTGTTCAGGTTTCCAGTATTTCAGAAGACAAACAGAGCTTCAACAGATATAAAAATGGGAGTGTGCTGCTTCTATTTATTAACATAATTTTCTATGCTACCATCAGCACTTTAACTGTGTTAGTGGACACATATGGAGGTGGGCTAGGTTGTAGTCTAGCCAGGACTTTGCTGCTGCTGCTGCATACTTTCTCTTTGAGAATGCAACAACTGTCCTGTGACACTGACAGTTTTTAAAAAATGCATCTGCCTGTAGTGCCAAACAGTGCGCTGGCTATCACATTTGCAGAAAAGGAAAAGAAGAAGGCAAAAAAGACAGTGAAAGAATGACAAAGGAAAAAAGACAAACTGGACTGAACTGTGTAATCTGCACATTCTATGGCTCAAACCCAAACAATCTGAATTCTTACAGCCGCTGGAGGAGGAGACTAGCAAGGCTCACTTATGTGCAGCATCCAGCTTTCCAAGAACACACCGGCCCTGTATGTAAACAGCCTGACTGTCCAATTAACCAGAAACTCACTGGTGCCCTGGTTGCCCTTACATTCAATTATGGGAAATGTATACATACAGTCAGGCATCTCTAAACAGAAGTTCCTGTTTCAAATCATTTGAAAAGTTGTGTAACATTTCACACTGGTAAAGCATGTACATCTAAAATTTGGACTAATGTCTGTGACCTGATAATTAGACAATCTTTAACCAATGTTAAGAGTTTGCATGGATTTGTTTAAACATGCAAACGTGGCTTCTTGGAGATCTTTGACAGATTAGTACTGAACATCCCGTAATGCATTTACAGCACGTCATCTGCTATTTCTCAAAGTTTTACATCTTATGCGATGATGGCAGCAAAATCCAAACTCACACAAAGACAGCGGATGCATGTCGGTCAGCAACGTCCGTCCAACGAAAACAAAGCCTCCGAACAGAAGAAGAGACCTGATATCGGGAGATGCTCTGCAGGAACATCGCTACATAGTAAATCTAATTCATGAAATCTACACCTTTCAAACAAGATAAATAGATTCGAAGAGGACCCGAGGCCCGTATGTTTCCAGTGAGATAAATACAAAGCGTTCAATGTGACCGACCTTCATTGATGTGCATCCTGTCTCTGTAGCCTCCGGCAGTTAAAAGAGGATGCAAGTAATGGGACATTGACAAAAAAAAAAAAGACGTCAATAACGGATCATTGTAGCACCGAGGGCAAATGTGTCCGGAATTTTTACAGTGGAAGCAAAGTGGCGAGGCTGTGTCGCTTTACAAAGGCGGAGCAGGGCTGGTTGGTCATGCTGCAGCTGACAATAGTAGCCATCCAGTTTAATAGCTAGCCAACGGGGAGTCAGACCTGCTGGTGTAACCGTTATATGCATATATGAGCTTGTTAATTAAACTATATGCATCTATTTTAATCCAGGTTCTGTGGTTTTAATGCGAGAAGCTCCTAAATCTGGTGAGAATTTTGTATCAACACTGGGGGGAAAACCCCCGCACTGACATCAGTGTGCTACAGAAAAGCTGAAAACCGACACGTTCCATTTTTCTGTAGCGTAAACTTCACGCGAGACTAATGGTGGAAAATGCTAAAAGCCCACCATTGCGAATACTCTACTGTTCGTTAACAAATTAAACGTCCACTCGTCACTTACCCCTCTTCTTTCTGGTGTGTGTCGCTGTTGAAGGTGTGTATGTGTGTGGAGCCCAGCCCTGCCGTTGCTGCGGTTCAGTCAGGCTCTGTACGTCGGCCTTTCCTCCCTCCGTTGCTCAGCAATATTAACGCATCTCCCTCCCCGCAAACCAGAGGCGACGAGCGCACCAATGTCCCGAAAGAAGCGTCAATATGGCGGAGATACATATAACAACTTCCGGTTATGACAACCACTATAAAATCACAACGAAAGCAGGATGCAGATATTTATAAATTAATGGCTGAAGAGTCAAGCTTTCTAGCACAACCAGTGGTAGAAAGTAATTAAGTACAATTACTCAGTAATTGTACTTAAATACAGTTAGTTATTTGTTACTTTTCAGAATCAGATTAATCAAACTAAATAGCTCGCAGTATAAGACTTTTGTGAATTTCCCACCAGGGATCAATAGTTATCTATCAGTACGTCAAATTATAAGCATATAAGGTATTTAACATTAGCTCCACCTTTACCAGCTCCAACATTAATTGTAAGGTACACAATAAAGCATTAATATTAATAGTAATAAGCCTAACACAGTAATATAATATCCATTATGTTAAATGTATCATTCTTCGTAGTGAGTACTTTTCCTTTTGTACTTAAAGTGTATTTTGATGCTAATACTTTTACTTAAGTTACATTTTGAATGGAGGACTTTTACTTGTAACCAAGTATTTTTACACTAGGGCACTGCTAATTTTACTTAAGATTTTGAGTAGCCTACTGTATGCCTTCCACCACTGAGCACAATAATATTGCATATGCAGCTTCAGGGCCCCCTTCTGTATTTAATGCCATCACACCTGAACAAATAACCCAATAAGCAAGAGAATACATGCACCTGTAATGGTGATTAAGGTCAATAATTAATAAAGTGTATATATAGTAAAGTGTTTAAAAAGTCTGCACATTGTGAATTTTTATTGTGAATCTTTCACAATAAAATTTTAGATCATTAACCATCATTATTTCCATTACAGTTTTTAGGTCTACATTAAACCCTGAACTGCATGAAAAGATGGAAAGGCATATTACTTTGGCCTTGCTAAAATAAAAGGTTTACAGTGCGTTTCATAATTATAGACCGCAAACTTGGAATCGTATTTCATTTGGGGAAATAAGGTTGTTTATAATACTAATAATGTAAAAAGCAAAATTAGAGATGAAAAACAAACCTTTCGGGCTTTTTAACCACGCAATGACTTCGCTGAATTAGTAGGGAGCGAAGAGCACCTGAAAATTTATTCACCTTATCTCACTCACTGACCATGTGATCCCGCTTTAATTTTCAAAAATCCGCCTTTAATTCTGAAATTAGATGTCGTAATTTCCGGTGTATTGGGTTTTGTGTCTGGCTTTACACACTTCATCTGCAGCAGCGCCTGCGTCTACACTTCCAACCATGGGTGCATCCAACTCGACCAGAAGCTTGTATCAGCCAGAACCGGGTGGGCGGGTTTCCTGCTCTCACTGGTCACGTTTCAGAGTCTTTTGTTGCTACATCATAAGCTGAGCTGCGCAGCTGGCGATGTGTATTTGATGCTGAAAACGAAGGCTGTAGCCCACCTACTGCATGATGCGCACCACAAATGAATGAGGATGCCCGGAAACAAAACAAATACATTACAGAAACGATCAAATTAATTGGGAATGCCACAGAAGAATATAACTCATTTATATTTTATATATTTATTGTATACAGCGTAATATGTCGCAATATAAAAGCTTTTTCAGACCTACTCACATCTGAAAAGATATGGCATAATTAGTGCATTTGAATTACTCCAAAATGTTTGTTTACATCTAACGTTACAGATGTTTTGGCCAGAAATCGATATCTGCAACAAAGGTTTGAATTAGCCTACATACTGTCCACGATTATCTATGTATTTATGTAGAATTTTAAATTTATATCGGCCTATAACATATCTTTTACTAGTCTATCTTTAAAAAAGAAATTCAAAATCAAAAACGGACTTTTTTGTAATCGAACTTTATTGATACAACACAACAATAACAAATATACATGTTCAGGTGTAAAATTGAAATGTACCGCCAACAAAAGTAACATCACTTAAAATAACAAAAAGAAACAGTTATAACAGAGTCGTACATTTAAATAAGGGAAAATTTGCTGTAAATGAATACTGATCTTAGAGTATCGCGAAAATCGGAAACGGTACACAGCTGTTTTGTTTTTCACAATGACGCTCCTCCCTGTTGGCGTAAAAGCATTCGTTTTACTTTCTCGATGTTCCGTCTGAAAAGGCGGAGCGTGTGTTTCATATTGTCATTTTTGAACAAAAACTGTGGCTCTGTGTGTTTTTATTATATGTTATTATGTTTAACCGCATTTCTTACGTACTTCCGTTCTTACTTTAATTTTAGTATAAATTTCGGATGTGTCCCTTAAACAAAGTTATTAGGCTGTATTATCATGACATAAAACATCTTTGTTGAGACTAATAAACAGACTGTCGTTTTGAGTTTCATGTTTCCATTTCCCAAAGCAAGTAATAATTTGTAGCAGCGATATATACTGTATGTTCTCTTTGTTCACCTGGCAGTATCTTTACTCCGGTAGACATGGTGAAACAAATCGAACCAACACGTCCGTTAGAGGGGCGTTAGAAATTGAGCAAGAATGTGCTAGCGAATGGGTGACAGTATGGAGGACTCGCGGGACGTTCAAACTTCTGAGCGAAACGGGAGCTCCTGGCCGTTTATATCGTCCGGTTCTGCGATGGCAATGGAGATTAAACGGAGGAAAACACGTCAGAATGCCTTATCCCTGCAAACAGAGGTAAAGACATAGAAAGTGGTTGTATGTTTTGCAGTCAACACTACATTAGTTTACTGTTAGCTAATGACAGTTCGGTTGACGTTGGAGGCATTAACAAGCTAGATAATAGTAACTACGGCTGTTTCAACTTGTAGTTAACTAAGTAATCACACAAATTTTCTAAGGACGTTTGACGTCCACACACACACACACACCACCGCAGTGGCTTTCTTTCAGTTCCAGAGCTAATTTAGTTGGGCTGTCTATAGAATAGGGAAGTGGCCCTTTATTCAGTTCCCTGAAACCAGAGCCGTGCACTCTGCATTGTTGAACGTTGCTAAGCATAGCAAAACTAATGCTCGTCTTTGTTCTAACACCGCTCAAACTAATGTCATTTCAGGCCAAAAACATGAAACCATGCACACGTCTTCCGAATGACACCGTGCAGATAGTAGAGGATGTTAATTTGCTGTGCATACGCCACATTTCTAAGAAGGCAAAGGTGCATATTTTAGTTTGTAATACGATCTTGTACATAATGTCATTTACCTGCATCCTGCATATGCTATCATCATGAAACCCCCTAATCCTTTTCGCATGCTCTCCTGTGAAAGGTTGATCATGTGTTGAAAAGAAGCTTCACTGTCACTTCTTTGTAGATCTGCAACAATTAGAAGATTAATTGATTAGTCAACTATTTTTAAGACAATTGTATGCAAATATGGTGACTTCACCCTCTTAAATATAACATTTTCATGCTTTTATCTGCTTTATATCATATTAAACTGAACCTCTTTTGGGACTGTTGACATTTTTTCACTTTTACAATTAATCAAGAAAATAATTGGTAGATTAATCAATACTAACAAGAATCGTTTGTTTCAGCCCTACATACAGTATGTCTATCCTTGTCAAATTAACTGTGGCGGTAGGCTCTTGTGGTGACAGGTCCAGTACAGAGCCTAATATTGTTGTCTTATGCATGATATTGGCAAGAAACACTGAGTTTTAGCTCAGTTTGTGCCAGAAAGACTTCTGTCTTTGCTAAAAACAATCTAGGTTCAGAGCCGTACAAAGTAAAGTGGCTGTCTTGTTCATGCATATGAAGTTTTTGCATCAGTTGTCACACGTTACTTGACATCAGTGTGACTTAACACCTTAAACACTTTGTGCTAAAAACAACATTCATTGGCAACCTCACTGACTACACTTCAGCAGAATCTTCATGTTTGCACTCATTAAGTCCATTTCATCCACTTCTGTAATATCCTACTGTCTGACAATCTAATTCAATTCAGAATGTCATAGCAAGGTGTCAGTCTTTGTTTTGAAATGGATTAATTTGGTCATTTGTAAATATTTCCTGTGTGTCCGTTATGTCCAAGAAGAACACTAACATACAGGAAAAGCTTGACTTTGAGATGCGAATGCGGGATGGGGCCTACAAACTGCTGCTCGCTTCCAGTAAGAAAGAACAGGTTCTTAACGCTTCCAAGAACCTGCTGACCTGCAATGCCAGGATCAAGGCTTATCTCGCTCAGAAGAAGAAAGAGGAGCAGGACATGACAGGAGCAGTCAGGGGGTAAGGAGCTGGTTGCTTATTGTGTTCTTTGGTGAGGAAGATGTCAAGTTGCACACTTACAAAACCTGGCATTCAGTTTCAGAACATGAAATATAAAGAGGTGGAACCAATTTTAATACATTATAAATGTCAACTTCAATGAGGGAAGCAAATCAGGAGCAAATGTTGAAAAATCAAATATGAGGTATTGTTTAAAAACGAGACTGAGTGGGTTTTGGGAAGAGTTTTTAAATTTGAAGTTTTGTTTTATTGCAAAGAAGCTGAAATATTGATGGAGGGATTGTGGTCATTTTAAATGGTAAATTCAAATTTTATTTCAGATATCCAGGTTCAAATCGCCGCACGCCCTGTAATGGGACAGTCGCATTGTCTGGTAAGATCACTCTCCTATCATTCAGCACTGGACACTCACAAATTATAATAGTTTGTAAGGTGATTTATTTTCTCAAAATCAATATAGAGCATTTTAGAAATGAGCTTTGTCATTTCTGCTTACGTAGGGCTGCGTATTCCTTTGCTGTGGAGGGATTCACATCACTTTAACGACAGAGGGAGTAAGTTTGTTATCGTCTCGGTAACATTCAACTTCTGTTTAGCTTTGCCTCATGTTATTTTGTGGATACGTTCTTTACCAACACAGACTGTGCATCGCTTGTGTTTGTTAGGCTCTCGTCGAGTGGCAGCATTCTGTGTGATCCAAATGGGCTCAGAGGTGTTTGACACAGAGATGGTGGTGGTAGACCGATCAGTCACTGACATCTGCTTTGAAGGAGTCACCATCTTGTATGTCATATGTAATACACTTACTACACTTAGTGTTGGGAATCCTTTTTTGGTACTGCTGTATAGTTGTGGGGAAAAGCATCTGTATTGTGAAGTTCTGTTAAGAATGTGTTCTTGGAAATTTGTCATTTAACAATGTGAATAGCAGAAGTTGTATTTTCTCTACATTTGCTGTGCAATAAAATGGATTATTTATTAATCAGTGTTTTACTTTAAGGGTTTAATGTTTATGCTCTAATTGAAATTTCTCTGCCCTGTCATAGTAAAGAAGCAGTTCCTCACTTTGAGCTGAAGGTAGAGCTGTGGAGCTGTGCCCTGGGGAAGAGCTCACATTGGTAAACACACCAAAGAAGCTGGCTAAGAAGCTTCGCAGCTCATTTGGAAAAGCTGCTGGGAAGAAGCTCTGCCATCTGCTGGACACTCCAGACCCTGACACCTTCCTGCAGTACAACCCCATACCCTCGTATGTATTCTGTTATCCCACATAACCTGTTACAGACTCTTGGCTCATTATTTAAAGATTTGGGAGTTGACCTGATTATGGCTTGTTATCGTTAAAAAGTTGGTTTTTGTGCCATTAAATTGAACAGTTACATTGAAAAGTACATGCTTTTAATCTTCCTGTCTTTATTTTGTGTCTTAGAGCAAAAGCTTAACAGCATGGAGTGCATCAAATGACACTGCTTAACATCTGTGATATATAACAGCTGCTCAGTGGGAGGGCAAACACTGGGATCATTAGGCATAATTTACAAAAAAAAGCCAAATACTGTAGGGTATGTGCACATGTTAAGGGTACAGTCTTTGTACATTGGTGCATCTTTAATATCATTTTACTGTTAGGGCTTCAGTTTAGCATGAATCTTTTATGGTTAAGCCAAAGGGGGGAAAAGTCAATGCAGTGTACTTGAAAGAACACTAAACTGTGTATGTGTTTGTGTCTGCCTGTACCAGTGGAGCCAAATACAGCCTGCTGGCCTACACTACACTGTGTCTGCCTGAAGCTGAAGGCAGCTTTCAGTCTCACTCTTTCATTGTCCTCCAAAACGGTGAGAAACAAAGGCTCAGAAATGTAATATCTGGGGGTATAAAGGGATTACACTGTTGAGCTCCTGATTTGATTCAGTACTTTTATAATGATACACTTTTTTTACACCATTAAAATTAAATAAAATAACTTATGTTTGAAGTTTAGCTTGGATTACTTTTCTTTCTTTGTGCAATTAAATGGATAAGAAAGTTGATGCTCAGGCACGTTTTTGTTAAACAGCTCTAATTTGAGGTAAACGTTTAGTTTCCACCATTTACATTAGTGTTAAGGATGAAAGTGCACATTTTTTGAAATTAGTGTTATTGATAAAAGCACTTTTATGCATTACAATAAAATATTTTATTTGGTTCTTCTCATTTCAGAAGGAATATGTTTTTTTTCTAACCTTTATCTTAGCATACAGGATACTGTAATTAATCAAGATTAACATACTGTATGTAAATGTCTGCTTTCTGGATTTTAATGCTGCTTTGGCTCTTACCTCCACAGCTGAATGGTCATCTTGGCTTCCGCTTTATGGCAACCTCTGCTGCCGGTTGGTGGCCCAACCTGCCTGCATGACACAGAGCTTGATGACTGGCTACCTGAGCCAGAGGGTGTGTTGACTTTGGTTTCTGTGTCATTAGCATTAGCACCAAAGCTAGTCCTAAGGTTAAATACTTAAGTTGTATTGTTTCTTCCTGGTGTTTTCCAGCAAAGTGTGGAGGGGATGAACTGCTGCTGCCGTCTTTACTGTGCTTTGAGCGCCGGCTTTTTGTCCTGCTACTACACCCCGGAAGAAATTGATGCCAAAGTGCAGCCCACTCTTAGCATACCCATCAATAAGGTAAGACATTCTTATTCAGCTCACCATTTGCTGATCTTTTCTTCACAAATGTGTGATCCACTTTCCTTATTGACATTACAGGTGCAGTGTGGAGCAAGGCTTCTGAGTTCAAAAACAAACGGCTTGAACACACATATATAGCACATACACGGTCAATACAAGACACCATCAAAAACTTTGTCTCATCACTGATTAGCAATGCCTAACATTGGTCACACAGGCTTCTTAAATACTCACGTTTCAAGAAGGTAGCTCCCCCTGGTGGGTAGGGGTTTAAAACAAAGTATAAACCAAAAGAAAATGGCTGCAACAGCCAGGCCTTCATTACTCACAGAGATCCTGTTTTGGGAGGGTCTTTGGCATTTTGCTGCAGATTATTTTTCTCCTTAATATCTTCAGTGCACTTCTAGAGCGCTACCTCTCACAGCGCTCTCATTTGTATACTGTGGAAATTATTTTCACTTTATCATAAGTCATCCAGTATGTGTTGTTTCCTCAGGACACCCAGATATGTGTGATGGAAAAGGACTCAGCAGGCCAGAAATCCAAGAAACTGTTGATCATCAACCCTTCACCAGAGGGATCTCAGACTGTTGTTTTCACAACAGACACTATGGAGGAGCTGGAGCACTGGCTGGACGCCCTCCACCAGCACCTCTATGATCAGAGTGAGTGTGTTTTTGTGTAAATGTGTGGCAAAAGGGTTTGTCTGTCTATTAAAAAAAAATAAATAAATAAAAAAGCTGTTCTTATGTAAGATTTTGTGTTTTTGGGTAGATGTAAAGAGAAGGCTGAGTATGTATACACCAGTCTGGACAAGAAGAGCAGCTGCACATATATTTAGCTAAACTTGGCAAGAACAGATAATATAACATTTTAATCTGTGTCTCTCATGCCTATTCTTGTTTACATCCAGGTCAGTGGTTGCATTGCTGCAACCAGCTAATGGAGATCGAGGTCACTTCACAACCGAAACCATCACTCTTCCTCACCAAGCAGGCTGACTCTGTTTACAATGACCTCAGTGAGTAGAGCAATTGGAACAAGTGGTTGAAAAGATCCAGACAGAGGTTGATAATTCACTGCTTAATGTTAAATGTTTTGCAGGATTTCATTTGCAGTGATTTATTTATAGATATCAAGTGCTTAAGAGACCTAACTAAAATAAATATTCTCCATTAAGCATGCCTAATAGTTTTAATTTCAGTGACAGCACATGACAGTAAAATCCTTTTACATACTAATTAGAATGTTGGAACATATGTGTATGTGTCCTTTGTTATATTTTATATTCATTTTTAATAACATTAAGCAAGGAAGAACACAAAATTGACTGACTTAATCCACTGGACTTGATTTCATTTTATTTTGTTTTGCAGGTATAAGTTCTCCTGGCAAGTTTGAGAGTATCACAGATATTATCCACAACAAGATAGAGGAGACAGATGGTTGTTTTCTTATTGGTCATGAAGAGCAGAGGGAGGCACCTAATTGGTCCACTTTGTTTGATGGGTCCCATTCAGTAGTAGTGCAGAAGAGTGTTCTGTCCCAAAGCAAAACCTCCACCCCTTGTTCAAGCCCCAACCCCAACACCTGCCCTACATCTACCAGCAACAAGAAGCGGCGTGCCCCACTCCCTCCCTCTGACATAGAGCCTTATGCTACACCCACCCACCCAGCCAGACTTCCCCTCCCTGCTTCAATTCATCCTCCTCCTCCTCTCTTGTACCAGGAGAAGGAGAACTCTAGCACTCACGCTTCACGCCCTGCCACAAGGTCCAAAACAGGCAGACCATCTCTGGATGCCAAATTTTCTGCAATCATCCAGCAGCTCCAGCGGAACACATGGTCAGCCTCAACCTCCTCTCCAGCCACTCGAGAACGAGAACCACCACACCCAGACCTCAGAAACCACAGCTGAACATCGCTTTATCAGACCCAGCCACGGCTCTGGTCCTGGTCCTGTTCCTGTTCCTGCACCAAGGAGCAAACTGAGGAAGTCTTTCAGAGAGAGAATCAACCTAAAAGCCTTGTGACACTGACCTTCAGTCTTATCTAGATTTAATCAATCAGCCCTATTCTGCCACTAAGTACGAATAACTCTAATTACAGTTTGAACTTTTCACCTGAGGAAGGTAACGTTGATAAAATCGGATATCGTAATAGATTTCATTATCTCAGTGATACTGTGAGGATATTTGGGGCATAACTCCTATGGTCCTTCAGCATTTAAAGGAATGGTGTTATTCAGGGGAATATGCTCATCTGCTTTTTGCCAAGATTTAGATGATAAGATCAATACTATTCTTATATTTGTACCCTGAGTATGAAGCTAGGAGCCAGGAGATGGAAAGCTGAGCAGAATCTGTCTACCAGCACCTCTAAACTAATTACACAATGCGTCTTGTTGGTTTCATCTGTACAAAAATGGACAAAGTTACAGTTACACAAGGGATTATGTGTCAGACTATTTCTTGGCAGAGAGCAGTGACTTCCTGGAGTGTTGGATGAGTCTGACCCTCTAACCCACTTTAGAAAGTCACTGCTACTGGCCAAAACAGTATTGCACATAAAGCTATCTTAAACTGCAACTTGTAATTTTTACACTTTGGTTTTTGTACAATTAAACAAGATCTAACTTTTTGTTTAATAAGATGTAGAGGTGAGGAAGGCTAGCTGTTTCCCCCGTGTTCGGTCTTTATGCCAGGCTAAGCTAACCATGTCCTGGTCTCAGCTTCATATTGAGTAGATAGGGATGAGAGTGTTCTCATCTAACTCGGTGCATCTTCTAAAATGTTTATTTTTACCTAAAAGATGGGTGATATGCTCTCTAGAAACAACAGATGATGTCATGATAGACCCATCCATCATGACAGCCCAAATCCTAGTTCACACATCATATCACAATATCAATATTGTATTGATACACCTCCAGTTCCACTCTACATTTATGAGCTTTCTCATATGCACCTATCCCATAGATGAATTTGAAAGCTGCATGTTGGCTTAAACTCTGCCATCATCAATCTCACTAAAATGGAAAGGCTTATTTCTCAGTTCTGCCACTGGAACATGAACCAAAGGAGAGTTTGCAAAAGCACTGAAATTGGAATTGATCCATTGACTGGCTGCAGAGGAGCCATTCCTTTTTGGAATTACTGACTTAATCCACTTAACTGTGACAACTTTATGACCACTATAGCTGATTTTAAGGAAACAGGATTTTAGGAGCAATTCCAAGCAATAATGTGACTTCTCCATTTCCCAGAGGTCTTAATAATAGAGTGACCTTTATTTCTAGTGGCTGTACAGTATGTCATATAATTTAATACTGCAGCCCATAAATGCTGTGAACATAATTGAAGAAGTATTTTGAGCAGCTAAAATAATGAATTCCCCAATTTTTGTGTTTTGAGCATATCCGATACTCTCAGCCACAAAATTTTCCAACCACTTAACGATTACATGCTGAACAACGGTTGTTACAATTACAGTGTACAAAAACACTAGGATTAGCAGCGTTCGCTGAAATTGTCTGGCCAGATGAAGTGGTGTGGTGAAAGCCACAGTCACGCTTGTGATCTTACCTACTAAATTCTGTTGAATCAAGAGCAGGATATGTAGATTTGAGTGAAAGTAGATTACAGGATGATTTAGTCTAATCCTTGAAAGAACTGAGATCGACTCTAAAAAGGGGGGGATGAAGTTCAGTAATAACATGTTGAAATGTTTTTTATACTTGGGACATTAGTTACTGTGATGTTGTACTGCATATCCTTGGTTCTAAAGTAAAACCTCATAGCATTAGTTTGTAGATGTTCTCGGGCTGTATGATTATAGCAGAAATCAAGCTTATACATCTCAGCCATTTAACTTGGCAAGCTAGTAATTAAAAACATTAAACTACATGTCAGCATTACTGACAGTTATTGTAAAATCTGACATTTCTGTTTGTGTTGAATGTTTAACTGTGTAGCTCTAGTGAAAATATTTTTAATACAAATACAGGAGAGGTTGCCTCTGTGGACATTAAGGCTGGGAAGTGCAGGTGATCTAATGCCTAAAAAATGTACAGCTGCTTTATGACTTAACAAGGACCGAACATTCCCACACTGATCATAGCCAAATTTATATTCATTTTACTGTGTTTTTAACATGCGTCTTAATTACAAGACAGGGTTAGGGTTTTTTGTATTCTGTGATTAAAATGTTTTGTAATTCCTTTATAGTCTAATACATCCATGTCATCTCAGTTTTAGTTATTTAGCCTAAGTAGCATTGTTCTTATGTGGTAGTAAGTAGTGATACTTTATATTAATCTTGTCCTTGCTGTGTAATTTGTGTACAGTGCAATTTAAAAAATATTAGTTATTTTTGTTTCTCAAAGTGCAATTTTCTCTTGGAAAGTAACCGTATATTTTATTATTGCTGATCTGCAATAAAATGGCCTACATTCTACCCTGGTGAGGCTGCTTTATTTCTGCTGAGCTTGGAAGTATTACTGAATATTTTTCACGGTGAAGGTTTACCAGGGAGTGGCAATAAAAGTCAAAGCAACGCTTTTATTGCAGCCCAACACACATCCCATAGAGATACATTCACTGGCACCTTTTTCTGCTGCAGCAAATACTGGAGAGACTCTTCTGGCTTTGAGCCCAGAAGTAGCCTGTTGTGAAGATTAAGGCAGATGGAATCTCATAGCCAGATAATGGTATTACAATAATAGGACCCCATTCACACTGCATTTACTCAGGAAAAAAACTTTACATTGGCGTTGGTACACCGGCATTAAGTATCAGTTTATTCAACCATGGCTATCTGTAGTTCAGTTAAAAAAACAAACACACAACTGGGGAAATATATAGATAGTAAAATATTTTAATTAAATATACAAGAGGTCATATCATACAAAATGTCAATTTTTTATTTTAATTTTTTTGTCCTGCTTGCCAGCTGGGTGATTGGTAAACAGATGGCTACTGTATCAAAAACACTTTTAGGATGCACGTAAATGGAGACAACGTGGGGGGAAAAAAAAGGTGAAACGACAAATAAGGGTATCCTAATTCTTAAATTGTAGTGTTTAAATCTAACATGATCACAGTAACCTTGAAAGAGCAAACAAGGACACAGCTAGATTGTGTAACCGACTTTTATACTGTTTTCTTTTTATACTATTTACAGATTATAACAGTTTACATGATAACAACAACGTGGTTCTATCAACAGTGCTATTTACACAAAAATGAGACGGGAGGGGGGGTGTCATGAATTGATCCCATATGAATTTTCTGTACAGGAGCCAGCACTGATGCCAGTTTTACCTACACACAGAAATGTACAGTACTTAATCTGAAATGAATGTCTTTATCTAAGTATTCAATAAAACTTTACACATAGACATATACAGCTTTTTTTCTTTGTCTTCTTTTGAAACACCAGACATGTTCACTGTGTGTTTTGACTATCCTGGATTGCAATTATAGTGACTGTTAAAGCCAGAGCAGGTGTCGTCTTTCTACCTAAGGCTATGGTGCATGGTAGGCATACTTTATGGAGTCTGGTACCTTTTTATCAATGCTAGAAAACACAGAGAGCACACATGCCCTGCGGATGACAGACACCAGATATGTGTCAATATCAACTATCAGTAAATCTTTTTGTGGACTGCTATAATTGACTGCCTGGCACAGTTAAGCTAAGTAAATGGATTTATTTAAGCACAAATACTAACCATTAGGTTAATGCATAACTCTAAAACCATTAAATGTTGTGCCAAGTCTGGTATCTGATAGCATAGTGTGCCATATAGTTCTTGTATGAGTGTCTGTGTGCTGCATTTCAGACAAGAGTGACAGTAATACTGATATTTCTACCCTGCTACAGAAGATGGACCTTAACAGCTGAAGTGCTAACTCTAATCCAAGACTGCAAAAGGCACAGATATTTGCAAAGCAATAATATCCTAAATGACAACATTCCTATCAAATCATACAGCAAGTCTTTTCAGCTTGCTGAATAAAAGAGTCTGTTCACCAAAAAAGAGCTTTTCAAGTCAAGAACAAAAAGATGAAATGCTGATTTCTTGTGGTGAGCATTCCACAGCAGACGGCTGCTTCATTATGCTGGTCCTACAGACAAGAACAAGCTGCTGCAGTCTACTCTCATCACAAGGGATTTGGGGGGTCAAATTACTTTCAGTTTAGAAAGTGAAAATTAAAACAGCTTTTCATTAACCAAGAAAAAAACATTCATACTTGTCAACAGATCAAACATGACAACTGCTTATGCTGTATGTGAACTGAAATATATAAGAAATCAAAACCTGAACTGAGTAAAGAGCAAGTCTACAGTACATCTGTCACACAGCACCTCTGAATGTTCTGATGAAACAATTTCATGTTGTGCAGCACCGCAGCAAGTGTTAATGTTTATTCCAAGGAGTACAGGTGGATTTACTGTGGCACAAACAGGCAGCCGTTTTCAGCGTGGAGACATGTAAACAGGTACAACATCACTGCCAGCCTAAAGTGTAATAATGCGCTAAACAGCTGCTGAGAATTGTTTGTGATGGTGAACGTGCCTCTAGTTATATAAAGCATTTTGTTTACATTGTCATGTTACTTGTAGTGTTTTTAAGAAACAAAGTTTAGCCCTCAGACGTAGTAAACAAATGGCTTTTCTCTGTTGCCCTCCACTTATCACACTTCCAGAGCAACAACCTGACTCATAGTGACTGAGAGCGGCAAAATGATTTGTGAGCACATACACATGAGCATTGTGCAAATAAGGATACAACAACAACAAAAAAAAGTGATACACTAAGTGGTGATAAAAATAAAGAACAGTGCAAACTATACCAAAAAAATGTGTAGACAAAAAAAGAAAATGGAATTTTCAGTCTACCTGACTGATGGGTTGATCAGTCTGTAATCAGCTTAAGTGTTTTTCTTCGACTGAGCCACAGTCCCAGAGCAAAGAGAGACAGAAAGACAACAAGAAGCATAAAAAGTCTGAGGATGAAGGAGAGGAAGAATATTGTCCTCCCTCCCTCACAGTCTGGTGCTGGGGTGTACTGAGGATAGCTGAGGTGGTGGGAGGGTGGAGAGAGGGTACAGGTGGTGCAACAGGTCCCCATACAGTGCTGCCCCACCTGGGTGCCTGTAGAAATGGTGGGGGCTGGGGCTTGAGGCCAGCAGCTGCCCGTGGAACATCATGGAGTGGAAAGCTAAAGGGGGCACAAGGGGAGACACTGCTGACTGACTCTTCAGGTACTGCAGACCCGGGTGTTGTTGGAGCCCATCCTGGGCTCCAGGTGAAAGCAGGCTGCCAGGTGGGTACATGCTAGTGTAGAGGTGTGCGGCATGAGGTGGAGGGAAGGTTGTCGTAGGGTGGCCCTCGGGGAGATGGTTGTTGAGGTGAACAGCGTGAGCTGGCTCAGCTGGTTTCAGCTCCTCTGGGTCACTTCGTCGGATCGAGCCCGCAGGGTGGATTGGCGTCACCACACGGACTTTCCTTTCTAGGACATCCTCGTTATCGGGCTCCACTAGGCTCCGCTTGCTGGGTCGAATGGGGCTGGTGAGGGATGAATCACTTGAAGCTTTGGGGCTTGGAAATGGATGCGATGACTCTGCTGAGTTTTGTTTGGGGGGAGAGATAGTCATAGGAGGAACTCTGCATGCCTTAGGATGGGAATCCAAACCCTGGTGCATGATGGGATATGGGAGACTGCAGAAGGAGGGCTTGGAGAAAGAGGACACCCTCTGAGAGAGAGGTTTAGAAATTGTGAAGTCTCTGGGCTCGTCCTCTGCCTCTCTGCTCTCTCCGTGTGTTTGAGTCCGGTCACTGTAGTGAGATCTGTAGGCCAAACCCTCTTGCTCCAGGCCACCGCAAACAAAGCCCTGGCTACCGTCACAGTCCCTGATGTAGTGCTCTCTCGGCTCTCCATTGACAAAGCCAGCCATCCTCTTCTGGCTCAGGCAGTTCTCAGTTTGCCTGTACAGACTGTGGAGGTGAGGGGAGGAGTAGCAATCACTGGCGTAGCTCCGGGTCTGAGCAGCTGGACCTTGGATTAGCTTCTCCGGGGCAGTCTCCACACCCTCCTGGGCATGGGTTCGGGGGAGATAGGGCTGCCATGGTGGACTGACTTGAAGCTGGAGGTGGTGGCTTGTCCGGCAGCTGTAAATCTCTGAAAGCTCCCCGACAGCACTCCTTTCTGATGAGCCGCTGGTGACTTGTTGGTGAGGCTTGCTACTCTGGGCATGCTGGATGACTGATGGCCTGAATATAGGCGCTACCTCTGGGATGCTGTCTGACACACACCCGTGTCTGTGTCCTACCACCTCCTCACCGTTTCTCTTCTCCTTCTCCCTTTCAGCCATTGATATAGCAGGGAGAGAGGAAGCAGCTATGGGAGGTGGAGGCTGAAGAGAAGCTGAAGTAAAGGAGAAGGGGTTGGACTCACACACTTGGGAGAGGAGCTTCTTTTTGGCCAAAGGAGACATGACCCCCTGGCTGGCTTTGCAGTAGGCAGTTGTCTGTGAGAGGCCTTGGGAAGACTCCTTCTTAATGACTCCATAATCTTCTTTTTCTGGGAAGGAATCCATGCTCAAGTCTATACACTGTCTGTCTGCCTGCTTACACATTGGTAATACCTTCCCCACTCTCCCACCATGACTTTCTGTGGAGTCTTTGACCCTGGAGGAGGACTCAGGCAGAGCAACGTGTCCAGTAGGTTTGTTCTGATCCCAATGGTGAGGTGGGTAGGGTTTTTTAGGAATGAAATGCCCTTCAGTTTGCTGTTCACTGGAGAGTTTTGCCTGGAGGGCCTCACCAATTTGCCTCCATTCAGGCTGGGGACTGGGTCCTGTGTGGAGTGGCAGACCAGCACTTGGGGCTCTGCATTCTGGCTCTTTGGGGCAGAATGAAGATGGCTGCTCCACTGCCAAGGACTCCTCCTTTTTCAGAGTAAGATGTAATTCTTCCTCCTCTATTACAATTGGTTCATCTTTAAGAGATACCTCCTGTTTTATGGCTGTAGACAGCTCATGACTCTCCTCTTTCCCCTTGGAGTCCTGTATACAGATAAATGACAGTAGTCAAATGAAAAAATAAGATAGATATTTTCTTTTTTGGCAATTTCAAAGAAAACTGTATTTCAGCAGAGGGTGAAGCTCTGATGAGAAAGCACAAGGTGATTAAAATGAAATTGAATTTAAGATGAGAAGGAACCCTGATGAAGCAGTAGTCTGGAGAGCTCTGTGACTGACCTGTGATTGTTCTTGGCCTTTCACTGTCTCCCCCCTCTCCTTTTTACTCCCCAGCTTAGGGTTGTTGCTTTTCAATTTCTTGGCCCCCACTCCTTTGGCTTTGGCTCCTGAGGCCTTCTCCTGGCTGCCCTCCGGTTTCCTGGGTTTGGTCAAGGGGAGGGGTTTGTCCTGTTCGCCTTTAATGTGCCTTTCATATGGAAGAAGAAGCCTGAGGAAGAATGAAGGCAAAGGAATGCAGAGGAGTTTGTAGTATGATCATGTTATGTCATGCCACGCTTGCAAGACAATCTCTGTTTTGGTCCATCACACATAAAGATAACATTTTTTAACCAAGCAACAATTTAAAATACATCTGAATGCCTAAAAAAAGCAGGGTGGGTGAAACTTTTTTCAGCCCACATAAATATTTTGTTTGCTTGCACCAAAAACAGAATGAGCTGCAGCTTTGCTAAAGGCATGCAGTGTTTCAAATATGGTGCTTTAAAACCCCCTTCTCTTAATAAATACCTGGCAAGCATTAACAATCCTATTGTAATTAAACTAAGAAAGGGGAAATCCAGGTTCAGGTGGGTGCCAGAGAGAGAGTGTGTGTGTGTGTGTGTGTGTGAGTGAGAGAGAAAATGTGACTAAGCAATCATCTCCTGCTGAGACAGATCACATTTGGTATTACTTTAGTCTTGAGAGAAAAGAATGTGTGTGAGTGTTGTGTCTGCGGGTGTGTAAAGCTAATGTGGTTGGGAAAGAAAAGAAGGAAAATATCTGGAAGAATTGAAGTTGTTTCAAGGAAGCTCACAGCATATGATGTCTAATTTAATTTACTAATGTGATTAATCACAGCAGCCCTTAAAGCGATTACAGTAAAATATTTTAGCTGGTAACAGAACGCCTCGGTTTTTAACACACCCTCCACTTGCTGTGATTAAATACAGGAGAGTCACATACGCTCCAGTGTGATGAAATCCATTCTAAGTGACAAGGAACATTCTGTAGAAAAAGCATTCAAGTATTTTTGACTTCTGTTATTTCTCTTCTGAATACTTCCCTAGTCAATTTTCAGTATCTGATGTCATAACTAATGGGAACTTTAAGAGCTGGATAATATAACAATACCCATGTGTAAAATAATGGCATGAAGAATCCAGCGAGGCAAACTTTTAGACTTTTATTGCTCAGAAAAGAAAATGGAAATAGACCAGAAGTTTAAAAAAAATGTGGAAGAGGAAACCAAGACAACTGAAAACTACAAACTTCAGTGAGCACTTCTAAAAATCTCTCCAGCTCTTCTGTCAGGGCTTTTACAATAACAATCCATAAAAGCTAGACAGAAACGTGACTTTCTCAGCCATGAGAAAAAAAATCGGGTCTTCTCGTGTAACAACGATAGAAAGTTGCACTATTCCTTTTAAGGGACACGGCGGTAAAACAAACAATGAATCAAGAGCTGTTTTGCCTCTCTTCAAAAGGAGGAAAAAAAAAGCCTTAGAGAGTTGAAGGGGCTCTGTGGGAATTTTTGTTATTTTTCCTCTGAACAAAAGTGCTGGCAGGGAAAGCGGTGAAACTACATTTCATACAGCTGGTCTGGCACCAGGCCCCAGGCCAAGAAAGGAAATGTACTATTAAATGTGACTTATTGGAAAGACGGGGAGCAAAGGGGTTGTGAAAGAGAAGAGGGGAGGGAAAATGAGCAAAAGGAGAAAGAAACAGAGGGAGAGAGGGAGTGAAAGAGGGGATAATGACATGTTAATGAAAAGCAAAAAGGATTCTGAAGGAAGGAAGAATCGTAGAAAACAGGCAGAAACATGCAGTCTTTCAGACATTAACCTAACAGTAGTGGCATTTACTACAAACAGTGAAGTGATTCTCAGGTTTTCTATATTTAGCATCTAAGAACAATTAGAAATTAGGTAAATTATAAAAATATTATATAGATTAAATTTTTTTCAGCTATTAGTGAGGAAAGTGCTAGAAAAGTGGCATATGTCCTGTACATACACAGTATACCAGCGTGCACTGTGGAATATCACAGTGATCTGTGGGAAAGAGATGGCTGCCTTGGCCTGGGTCAACCTTATGGAATGTCAATATGGGGTGGAGTGGGGGGAAGAAGGCTCAGATAATGTAAGAGCTAAGCCCGGGAAATTACTGGAGTCTTAAATAGTTCCAAATGGAAAGGCTAAGAGGTTATGTCGGTCAGCTTCAGGAAGTTTCCTACACTGTCAGAATTATTTGCTTTGTTAATGAAATCAAGATGATTTACCAAAATTGTAGCCTATTAAACAGTTTGACACCGTTTCGTGTAAATGTCCACAAATGGCTGAGTAAGCAAAGAAAGTACAGGCTATGGGGCACTCACTCCTTTTTCCATTTTTAACTCTGTGGTCAGAATCATAATAGAGCCATTGGTGTGAAAGACTGGAATAATTTCAAGCAGTGTATATATAACTTAGTCATGATTGTGTAATAAGCACTCATGATACAATACCACTTATATAAGCATCAATTTCCTCCAAGGAAGGGGAAGGTTTGAGCTTGGCAGTGGTTGCATTAGTTGACAGGCAGCCAGGTGTAGTTAATAATCTGAGCGCCTAGGGGGCGTGTGCTGCACTGAGAGAGTCCAGGAAAGAATTTCATTAAGGCAGGAGAAGCAACATTTTTATGAGTTCAATAAATACTCAACTTCCTCTCATGCCAATTTATCATCCAGCCTTTGTTTAAGCAACCATTTTCCATTTTGATAAGAACCAACTAAAATATGGAGTGAAGAGATTAAATGTTGAACAGAGAGAGACAGAAGTGTCATGTGTTATGTAATTAAGATAAAAATATTGCTTCATATATAAATAATGCATTATACCTGACTGATCGTAGTGCCAGTAAGATCAATAACAAAGTAATTCATCACACCACGATTGTTAACTAAGCGTGCCAGTGCCTTTGAAATAACAGACTGCACACAAAGCACCTCACCCCAAAAAAGACAAGTTGGCAAAAACAAGGTGACTTTACCAGCAATGTGCTGCTCTCATCTGAGTTTTGTGTTACAGGAACAAGCGGTATGCTCGAATCCAAGAAAATGCCTAAGTCACCAAATAAGTGGAAAAAGCCTGCAGGCTGTTCCATTTCAGCAGTTTCCCTCCTATCTGTGCTGAAATTAATTTTAGCTGTGTTGTGTTAAGATCACAAGAGCTGTTTCATGCCTTTAAAAAAAGCAAAATAAAGTATTTAAAGAGCCGGATGACAAGCCCTGGAGGCTGTGGAAAGATTTGGAGGAAAGAAAATTATTTACTTTTTACTAGCCTTTTTAGAAAAGAGAATAAAATAAAATAAAAATGACACCAAATCTTTATCACATCTAAATGCAATGATTAGACATCATCAGAGCAATGAGAAAACATTAACTGCTGCAGAGAGAGACTGAAAGAGAAAGAAAGACAAGATGCCAGCAGGGGGATAAACATACAGCATAGCTGGTCGCTCTGCTTTGGATTCATGCCCCAAAGCCTCTCTTTTGTTTCGAAGCCAAACCACTTGAGGTGACCCTCATTCATGCAGTTAAAACAGGAGGGCAGTGTAGGAATGTATGAAAAACTTAAGTCCTTTGTCAAGTCTGAAAACACCAGATTTAAAATGACCTCTACTGTTCCCCCGGGGTTCGCTCTCATTAGCTGCTGCTGTAGCTCGCAGTAAATGTTCGCCATAGCAGGTGTGAGCCAAGAGGGCTGTTTAAAATAAATGTGTACTATTCTGCATAAAGGAAC